AGCCATACGACAGCTGGCACCACCGCCCCGGGCACTGTCCCATGGCAGGGGGGTGGCAGCAGGGGTCTATGCCCAGGATGCAGCAGAGACCCTGCTGAACGTGGCACCGCTGGGAGCTGATGGTTGCTGTGCCCGTGGGGTGCAGGGGGTGCCCATGGGGCTGAGGGCATGCACACCTGCACCCCCCCAGGCAGCAGGGCTGCGGTGCAGGGGCTGCAGCCAGCTGGGACATGGTCCCAGAGGGGACACGGCAGGGACACGGGGGCCGGGTTGCAAGGAGCTGCTCCCAGGGGCTGCCTGTGCCTGGCAGCTGCTGGGTTTGACTCCTGGTACTCACCACCCTTCTCTGGTGTTACACTCGGCTCTGCCCTGAGGATGAGGAGGCCCAAGAGGAGGAAAACTCCTGTGCTCATGGTGCTGCTGGGGATGTTGTGCATGTCTGGAGCTGAGCTGGGGTCTGTGTCAGGGTGCCTGGAGTGGCAGGGCAGCAGAAGCTGAGCTGCCTGCTGTGGCAGCTGGCTGTGCTATGGGCAGGAGGGGCAGGAGGAGGGGCAGTTCCCAGAACCCACCGGTGCCCTGCCAGCCACCCCGCTTATCTCTGCCCAAGCCCTGCTTTGGGGTCATGGTGACCTGTGGGGCTGGGAAGGCCAGATGGGGTCAGGCACTTCTGCCCCTCACGTTGCACTGCCCCATCCTTGCTGGAGCTGGCTGTCACTCCCTCTCTGGGTTTCTTTCCAGCCCCACTCACCCCTCTGCTCCCTGGAGCGGGGGCTGTGGATAGACCCCAGGGCTTGGTCCTGGCATGGCTGTGGGAGCAGCACGAGGGGTTCTAACAGCTCTGCTGCCATGGTGCTGGTCTCAGCCAAGGGCAGCTTCCATGCAGGGACTGCTTGGCACTCAGCACCATGAGTAAGCAGGTCCTGCTGTGGCCCCCGGCACACGGGTGATGCTCCCTGTCCCCGTCCTTGTCTGGGTGCTCCATCTGGCCTGACCCGTGACTGCTTTTCCCACCAGGTTTTGACACTCTGGGATGCAAATAAGCCTTTCCTTGGCACAAGGAATCTGAGGGAACTGGTTTTCCAGTCCATGACTGCTGAGGGGACATTATGCAGCCCCCAGGCTCAGCAGGATGGTTACCATGGAATGATCATGGCTGGAAGTCACCTGCATGGACCTGGGACCCTGTCCCTGCCCTCGGGCAGTGCCTGTGTGCAGGGATGGCTGCCTGCACCTCCCTGCCTGCACCTCCCTGCCAGCATGCAGCCCAGGCCGCCAGCCCCTCTGAGAGCCAGAGCACAGAGAACAGGGATGGTGACCCAGAGCAGAGGTGCCTGTGGGATGGTTTATTGTGTCTCAGTGCTGTGGGGCCATTGTGGGTGCAGGGTTTTGCCTCATGCAGGGTCGCTAGGATTCCTGGCCATGGGTAGTGCAGGCAGCATTCAGCCCTTAATGTCCCAGCTGGGGGTGCCAGGGACCATGACCAGAAGCATTGGAGTCACTGCTGGTGCCATCCTGCCAGGGAACAGGGTCCAGGGAGACGTATGGGTCACACCAGCACCTCTGCTCAGCGCATGGGTGCAATGGCAGTGGGGTGGAGGATGACCCTGAAATGGCAGCTCCTGGTGCAGCCCTTCCTGGCCATGGCTACGCTGTACCTGGAAGAGGCAAGTGAGGTGGTCAGTGAGGATGCCTCAGTGCTCCTTCTCTGAGGGATGGGGGCCCTGTGGTGCTCCCACCCTGGCCCCCTCTGTCCCCTCCAGGCTGGAGGGGACTGTACCCCACAGTGGGTGGATGCAGACCCGGCTGCAGCCCTGCAGGCAGCAGGGGGGACAGGGGGACAGTCCCTGTCCTGCAGGCACAGGAGGAGGCACTTGGCTGCCTGATCACCCTCTGCTGCAGGGGGACAGAGACCTGGCCATGCTGGCACATGTGGAGAGAAAAAGGGGTGAGGGGCTCAGGGCACCCCTCCAGGGTGGGAGAGCTGTCTTGCCTGCAGGGATGAGCTCCTCACTGAGCTCCTGCCCCATTGGAGAGCAGCTCAGTCCCCATTGCCCCCCGAGGGTCACGGTGACAGGTACGGAGGGGACACAGGGGTCTCATCCCCACAGGGTGCTGGTGGCTTACCCTTGGTGGGTGGTTTGCAGATGTGGCCACAGCCAGTGGTGCAGCACTTGCTGTCCCCAGTGCAGTCACTGTCAGTGTCACACAGCTCCAGGCAGGGCCCCAAGGAGCCCCGCAGCACCATGGGGCACACGCCAGGCTTTGCTGTGGCACGGCGGCTCCCTGGTGACAGGGAAGAGTGCAGCTGTGCTGGGATTCTGTCCCCAGTCCTGCTCCTGGCACAGCCTTGGTCTCCATCCTGTCCCTGTCCTCCATCTTCCTTCCCCAAGCACCACGATGACCTCTGTCACCAGCCTCACACCATACCAGTCTGACCCAGTGAGACCAGTCACAGCCTAATGTGGGATGCCAGCTGGTGACTGGAGTGGTGAAGGACAACCCTTGCTCTGGCTGCAGTCTGAGAGGGTGCAGGAGGGAGGCTCAGGAGGGGGTTCAGCCTTTCACACACTCAGAGCCATCTCCCACCATCACAGAGAAGCTGGGCATGGGGACCCCTTCCCACAGCACCCAAGGGCCAGCTCTGAGGGCTGGGGCTGTGCCCAGGGCAGGCGTGTGGCACCGGGAGCTGCAGCCAGTGGCACACACTCCCTGGGGCTGGATGGGTGCCACCAGCTGCACACCTGGCCAGGCACAGCCGCTGTGCCTTGTCCACAATAGGGCTGGGCACACGCTGGGCTCTGCCAGGGGCAGCTGGGCAAACACCAGTGCAGTGGTGGGCTGGATGTGGGGATCAGACAGGGCTGGCAGGGCTGTACCTGTGTGTGGAGGGGTGCAGGCCAGCCCACAGCCAGAGAAGCAGCACTTGTGCTCCCCAGGGCAGTCCCGGTCATCGGTGCAGCGGTTGGGGCAGGCAGCAGCTCTGCTCTGGGCACGCTTCCGTGGGCAGAGCCCAGGTTTGGCTGGAGGGAAGGCTCAGGGTTTGGCATGCAGCCAGCCTGCCCCCAGTGCCCACAAGCCCCCTGGAGTGCAATGGGGGCTGCAGACCCCTGGGGCTGCCCCAGGGCATCCTCAGCCTGGCACGGGAATCTCCAGGACACCTCACCTGGCTCAGCCAGCACGCAGCGGGTGCAGCAGCCGCGGGGGCAGCACTTCTCCCCTGACTGGCATGAGGTGTCGTTGTGACATCTTGTCCCACAGCTGGGCCCGATGGCACTGCCAGCACGGGGGCAGTATCCTGGGCTCTCTGCAGAGGGAAATGCTCCATGCAGCCATGTCCCAGGGAGCAGGGCTTGCTCCAGGGGTACTGAGACAGGCACCAGCCCACGTCCCACCCATTGCCCGACCCTCGTGCTGGCATCCCTTGGAGTGAGCAGCAGTACCTGTGGTGGGCAGCAGGCAGGTCCAGACCTTCCCGATCTGGCAGCACTTCTCAGCACCAGGGCAGCCATGGTCGGAGAGGCAGTACAGGCTGGGGGGCCAGGGGGCTCCGCTCGCCCCCGCCGGGCACCCACCCACTTTGGGGGGGGCAGGAGGGGCAGTGGGGGTCCAGTGTCCCCGCAGGGCCCCGTGTGGGGATGCAGTGAGGGTGAGGGCAGTGCCCTGGTCCCTCGGGTTGTGCTGCTGGGCCAGGGTGAGCAGCGCCAGGAGCACCAGCAGGGTGGGGTGGCCCAGCATGGCGCTGCAGTCAATGTGCTTCTGGGCAATGGGCTGGGATTTAAACCCTGCTGGAGTGGGGGCTGGCCAAGCCAAGCTGCTCCTTCTCATGGCAGCACAGTTCCAGGACTGTGGGAGTGCTGGGCATGAACAATTCAGCTTGGGGGAGACTCCTGGGGCAGTGTTGGGCTCGTGGCCCATGGCTGACATATCTGCAGCTCCCTTTCCAGGTCACTGGTGACCTGTGAGCAGCTGTGCCAAGGGCTGAGCAGCACTCCCAGAGCCACACCATTGAGAGCATGGGTGGACACAGGAGCAGTGTCCTGTCCCGGTCTTCAGTGTCCACTGGATCCCTCCTGGCCCACGTGGAGCAGGCAGAGCTGCTGTGGAGCTGTGGTGCTGGCACAGCCTGCACCTGCACCGCAGAGAGGGGGAACCAGCACCAGACCCTGGGCAGTGCTGGGCAAGGTGTGGGGCTCACTCAGTCCCAGGGGATGGCTCTGCCAAGGGCAGGGGCTTTGGGGGTGCCAGCCCCTCCCAGGCAGGAGGGACATGCTCTGATCCCAGGGGCTGGGAGCAGGAGCAGGCAGGTATGGAAGAAACAGGGCCCCTGGAGACCCACGGAGAGCAGGAAGTGTGTCAGGGGAAAGCAGGACAGGAACAGGACCCCCCCCAGATTTGAGCAGGTGGGGAGGGATGTGGCAGGAGCTGGCACGGGACTGTGGCATGTGGCTTGTACTGCCAAAAGCTCCTTCAGGCTTCTGCTGTGGGCAAGGTGCCATGGCCAGGCTGGGAGGGCAGAGATAAGGAGGAGTCTGGGTGATGCTCGTGTACGAGCACACACTGCAGCCTGTTTGTCCCCTGGCCATTGTAGGAGCACCTCTGCTCTGATGGGACACGGACACAGCTGCACCTTGACAGTGCTCTGAGCATGGTGGAGGACCCAAGGTGGAGGAGCCAGTGTGCAGGGACAGCTGGGGCCATGGACCCATGGGACAGCCCCGGGCAGGGCACAGGACCCTTGGAGGCATGACAGAGTCAGTCAATGCTGCTGCTTGTGTGAAGCCCTTCCAGGCATGCCTGGCATGGGATGGAGAGGCAGCCATGGCTTGTGATGGAGAGGTGGCCACAGCATGAACAAAGAGGTGGCCATGGTGTAGGATGGAGAGGCAACCACAGCATGTAAGGGAGAAGCTGCTTTATTGGTGAGAGTGCAGGGGTCTTGCCCTGAGCAGAGAACCCCAGGGAGAAAATTGAGGCTGAAGGCTCCAAGTCGGGGGGATGGTGCCAGGGCATGAGGGATGGGCATCAGGCAGCAGCTTCCCTGTGGCTGGGCTGGCAGGAGGTGGCTGCACCTGCAAAGGAGCAGAGGCTGTGAGCAGGATGGGTGCATAGGCACCGTGCGGAGGTGCTGTGGGATTCCCGGGGCTGGAATGCACCCAACTGACCTCACTGGATGGGTGTCACACAGGAGACCTTGCCACAACCGTTCCTGCAACACTTCTGGATCCCAGCGCAGTTGGCATCGGTCTTGCACTGGTTGGAGCAGACGCCCAACATGGGGATGCCCGGGTTCACGGGTGGGCAGGTGCCAGGCTTCTCTGAAAGGCAAAAGAACATGGCTGAGACCTGCTGGCCCTGGCACGGGGGGCAGGGCCTACCCTGCAGCTCCCAAAGCTGTGGGCATGGCCCTGGCCCCTATCTGCCATGGAGGAGGGACCACCATGGTACCCAGCATTTCCCCCATCCCATAGATCCACTTGTTGGTGCTCCTTGCCAGCTGGACCTGATGGGCACATGTCAGGGAGGTCACATAGCACAGTGGCCCCCAATGGTCCCTGTGCCCAGTGTTCCCTCTTAGGGACACAGGGCTGGCACAGGATGCACAGCTGCAGCATGCAGATGTTATGCAGGCCTTGGCCCTGCTGTCCTCTACAACTGCCATGGATGGCCCAGGATGTTTGTTCATAGCATGGGGGGTGCAGCCTAGGCCTCAGGCAGGATCATGGGCCCCCCAAACAGCCTTTGCCCAGCAGTGTGGGGCCCCTGCCCCGCTGTCCCACTGCCTGCCACTGGCACTGAGCTCTGGCTCTGCACCATGCTGCCCTCCACTGTGGTGCAGCCAAGCCAGTGCTGTCCCACAGGCAGCCACGGAGGCACTGGAGCCTCCAGGTCACATCCATCTGTCTGCACCTGTGGATTCCAGCTCCTGCACCCATCTCCTTGGGTCACTGTCCAGGACTGTTGTGGTGAGCAACAGAACAGTGCCCCCACATCCTGGGCTGGCAGCTGCCCACAAGGCTGAGCAGGCAACAAGGGCTGCAATGGGGAGTGGCACAGACCTCACCCTCCACCCAAGCCCCAGCATCATTTAGGGCTGTCCACTCAGCCCCTGCACCGCTGAGAGGAGGAAGGTGTGAGCGTGGCCCAGCAGGAGCACACCCCGAGCCTGCTGAGCTTCCATGCAGCCCCCAATCCTGCAGCTGAACACACATCGGGCACCCCGGCCCGTGGCCACCGCTGCACCCTGGAGCACCCGTGCTGCTGGCTGGGACGGGCTGGGTGGCAGTGGCAGCGACTCTGGGCAGCACGGCCAGGAGCAGGAGGCAGTGTTACCGTCAGGCTTCTGGCAGGCCTTGCCGCAGGCTGCCGGGCAGCACTTGAGAGTGCTCTCGCAGTCGCCATCGGACTGGCACCCCACCGTGCAGTTCACCGCATCCGTCGCCGGGCTGGGGCACACGCCGGCTTTGGCTGCAAGGCAAAGGTGAGGCCGTGGGCAGGCGGGGGCGGTCGGCGCCGGGCAGGGCGAGGGCTGCGTCCCTTTCCGGGAGATGCTGCCCCGGCCCCAGGGCTGGGTCCAGGGATGCTGCCGAGCCCAGCCGCGCCGGGCACGGGCCGGTGCTCGCCGCGGCCCCCACGCCGGCTGCCCTGGGGCTGGGAGGGAGGGATGCTGGCCGCTCGCCGGGCGTGCCGTGACGAGCCGTGCTGGGCCATGCGCTCATACTCACTGGTGTCATTCTGGGCGGATGCTGCCGGCAGCTCTGCCCACAGAGCCAGGAGCCCCGCCAAGATGAGGACGCTGCGGGCCGCGGGCATGGTGCAGGAACCGGCTGCGCTGTGGCCGCCCGACCGGCCTTTAAGCTCCTCTCCAGGTGGGGCCGGCGGGCTCGGCCTTCCGGGTGGCTCCCAAGGGCCGGGCAGGGCCAGGCTCCCCCTTCGCGCTTGCACAACCCGAGTATCAGGTATCTGCTGCTGCTGGCTGCCGACCAGGGAGGGGGAGCCTCGAGGAGACTGGGCGGCCATGCTGAGAACTCGCCAGGCAGGAACAGCAGCCAAGCACCCCTGGCCACGGCCCCCGCAGGCCGGACCCCAGGCGGGCAGCGCCGCGCTGAGCCCGCCGGGCCGCTGGGTCGCCATGGCCCTGCCCTCAGGGATCGGCCCTGGGGATGAAGTGGTACCGCTCGCCGGGAGCGGGGCATGACCCGTCCCTGCTCAGCTCACCCTGCACCGCCCCGGCCACGGGCATGAGCTTGAATGGAGCTCCTGGCCTGGGTCGCAGGTGCTCCGAGGCCGGGAGGAGCCAGCAGTGCACACAGGGTTGTGGCTTAGCTCTGCTGCTGCTCACCCAGCTCCTGCGCCTGTTCCAGCCACTGTTCTCCTCTGTGCTGCTGCTCACCCCACACCAGCACCTGTTGCAGCCACTGTTCTCCTCCAGCTCTTGCTCCTCAAGTGAAGGGTGCTCCAGGCTCCCTGTGCCTTGGGCAGGTGCCTGCCCGGGGGCTGCCCTGCATGTTCCCACAGCCATGAGAGCTTCTGCTCAGCTGCAGCCCTGTCCCATGGACCCTGCCATCCTCACAGCCTCCCACAGCACTGGGGATGTGGATGGACCATTCGACCACCATTTGTGCAAAGGGCTGTCAGGGGATGTCACTGACATGCACTCTCAGTGCTCCAGGGCATGGTGGTACTGGGGCTGTACGGCCCCAGTCCCTTCAGCCTGTCCAGGATACCCTTCCCATGGCACATCTGGTGGCTCAGAACACTTTACTGCCTCAGGCAATGTCAAGCTGGGGATGGTTTGAATGGGCCCAGCTCGCCCACCTGGTATGCTGCCCTGCTCACATCAGTGTTTGCCACTGTGCCAGCGCCCATCCTCCTGCAGGAGGATGAAACCTGCCCTGTTCCTGGTGATGTGCTCTTGCTGCTGGTGGAGGCAGCCCCAGCTCCAGGCATCTTGTAAATTTGCATGGGCCAAGGGTGCATGGGGCCGGGACATGATCCCTGCCTGAGTCACGAGTTGGCGTCTGCTCTGCCGGGGTCCGTCTCCAGGTAATTTAACCCCACAGTCAACAATGTGGCACGGCGGCGTGGCAGTAAATCAGTAACTGTTTGCCTTTGCCTGTGGTCCCCTCCCTGCTGGGTGTTTATGCAGGAACAGGAGCCGGCGCTCAGCCGCCTGCCCCACTGCCGCACCTCATGTCACCGCTGACGGCAGTGGGAGTGACACACGGGCAGAGGCCCGGGGTGGCAGGGAGATCATCAAGGCAGCCGTTTTCCCTGTGCCCTCCCGGATGGGGACCTGCTGAGGAGCTGCAGGGACCTGGCCACGCTCAGGCTGGCTGAGATGCTCCCAGAGTAAGCCCAGGGGTGCCAGGAATGAAAGCAACCATCTTGCAGCCCAGTGGCCCCTGCAGCAGGGCCAGAGCACAGTGCTGTGCTGGCCGGGGGCGGTGGGGGTGATAACAGCATGGAGGTGAGCACACTGCCCACCAGGATGGAGAGGGGGGACCTGCACCATCCCTACCTGTGCAGCACAGGGACAGAGCCCACCTGGACCCAGCAGCAGCTTCTCTAGAGCAGCAGCACTGCTGCCAGTCCCACCCTGTCACGCAGGGTCACTGGTGTCCCATTGTGACCTGGCTGTGGCCCTGTGCTGGTGCTGTCTTTGAGCATCATTGCCCTGGTCTGACCCTGTGACAACTCTGCCCGAGCATGGGGTGACCCCAGCGTGGGGTGACCTTGGTGCTGGCAGTGAGCAGCCAGCACTGGGAGGCTCTGAGGGAGGATGCCAGCACAAGAGCTGCCAGCTGGATGACAGCAGACGGGAGCCAAGAAATGGAAGGCTCATGGAAGGAGATGAGGAGAAAAGCACAGGGGAAACTGAGAGCTGGTGGGAGCAGTGTGGGCACCAGTGGTTTTGCCCACGCTTGTGCCCTAGCTCCAAGGTGCCCAGCTGGTTGCTGAGGGGACAATCCAGCTGAAGCTGCCCTCAGCCAGCTGGAGAGGGACTGAGCAAGCTGGCAGTGAGGCCAGCAGCTCCAGCCCACGCAGTTGACATCACCTTCTGGGCGACAGGAATGCTTTGGCTCCTGTCCCCGGTGCATGGCATCCAGGATATTGGTGTCCCCACCCTGGCCCTGCCAGGTGCTTCTTCAGCAAAGGCTGAGAATGGCTGTGGGGAACACAGGGGTCTGCTAGCTGTCCCCATGGCCAAGCAGGATCCTGGCTGAGCACAGGGGGTCACCAGCCCCAAGCCAGGCCCCAAAGTGCTGCATCCCTCAGGAGCTGTGCTCACCAGCACTGAGCCTGGTCACGGTGGCTGCGCCCAAACCTCGTGGGTGACCGTGGCTCCTCCATGGCAGCAGGGAAATGCTGGAGTCACATCACCTGACTGCTGTGGTCAATGATTAAAAGGGGCACACTGAGGTGCCCCCGAGCAGTGAGCCAGCCTCCCGCTGCTGGCACAGAGCAGGGATAGCAAGTACAGGGATACAGAGGGACACCCCATTTCTGGAGATGCTGGGCCCCTCAGTGAACAGCACAGGGTCCCCACACCATGGGCATGGAATGGTGCATGGCCCCTCAGGTCCAGCTGTGCACCCTCTGAGGGCTCCTGCCACACTGCCACACTGCCACATCCTGCCACAGCCGAGCCCCCCCCGCCCACACTGTCCCTGCAGCACAGAGCTCAGTGGCCCCGCTGGCATGGCCACAGCTGCAGTGGTGCATGGATGCTTTGGAGCCTGGCATGTGCCTGGCTCTGTGCTCTGGGATTGCTCCTACCTGCTCATTCCATGGGGACCCCTGCCCCAATCAGCCCCACAGTGCTCCAGGAGCTAGCACAAGGCACCCACCCCAAGCCCTCCAGCACTCACCTTTCTCCTCATCATCTGTAGGGGCTGCATGCAGCTGGGCACACAGGGCCAGGATGCCCAGGAGCAGAACAATGGTGGTCTTCATGTTGGTGAATGCCAAAGGTATGGATGAGGAGCGCAGGTTGGCGGGGTTTATATCTGTGTGGAGCTGGGGAGGGGCCATGCACACAACCTTCGTGTGCCAAAACACTCACTGCTGCTGCGTGTCACAGTTGTGCCCGAGGCAATGACGGCCTGAGAAATGATTTACCTGGCCTTGTCCAGCCCCCTGGCAACCTGGCTGCAGCAGGGAAAGGACCCTCAGCACTCTCATGGGGAAAGGGAGATGAGGCCATAGGCTGGGGTCACCCTACAACCATGAGGAGCCCCGAACTACCCAGCTGTGACAAGTGATTAGATGAATTTGTGGGATAGGAACCCTGAGGGGGCTGCTCAGGAAGATGTTCCCCTGGGGGCTGCTGTGCTGGCAGTGTGTTTCTGGGGTGCCACAGGGCTGTGGGTCTGCTGGGCTGTGCCCATCCCATAGACCCAGCACCTGCCTGTCCCAGTCCTGGCCTGGTGCCTGCTTCATGCCACGTCTGCTGGTGGCGCCTCAGGGGACAACGGGCTGGGTCCCCGCGGGCAAGCATGGCCTCAGGGGGAGCAGAGCGTGGGAAGCCTCCATGAGACACAAGGCTGGGTGCACCCGTTGCTGAGCACCATTCCTCCGTGGGGACAGGCCGGTGGCTCCGTGCCGACATGTCACTGGCTGCAGACATGTCCCAGCAGATGGGTGCTGTGGCGGGGTCAGCACTGCCTCTCACCTCCCCGTGCTCCCACACTGATGGAGGTGACCCTGGGATGCCCAAGGGGGGTCACAGGGAGCCCAACTGAGCATGTGATGGGTGACCATGCCAAGGGTGAGGTGTGTACCCTGCTCTTGGGACCCCGCTGTGCTGCCACTGCTGTGTCTGAGCCCTGCTGAGCAGGACCCCTGCTTCCTGCATCCCGTTCCATGCAGACAGGGGCATGGTCAAGGGACTGCAGCCGTGCCAGGGGGCTGTTCTGTGGCTCCTCTCATTGCTGAGCTGTGGCCATGCAGGCACAGCTCTCTGTGCCTCAATGAATGGCAAAGGGCACCTGAAGGTGCTGCCAGCAAGTTGGGCAGAGGCAATCTGACTTGGGGGACAGGGCAGGGGTCTGGCAGAGCTGCAGCAAAGCACAGGGGACAGCCAGGGCTGCAGTGGGTGCAAAGGGACAGAACCAGGCTTTTTGTGGGGCTGGTGGAAGAGATTTGTCCTGGGCTGGAGCTGGAGAATGGTCCCAGCTGGGGTCCCAGTGTGTGGAGGGACACCAGGGACACGCCCTGCCTGGGAAGTTGTGACAAGGCCAGCCTGCCAGGATGCAGGCATCTGTGCTGAAGCCAATGTGACCTCTGTGACCTCACCCAGGCTTTTACAGCTCAACGATCATACTTTCCCCCTTGGAAATTCCTGTGTGCGTCATCCCTGTTCCGAGCAGCCAAATGCATTTGCTGCTGGCAGAACTCTGTGTCTAAATCAAAAGGAAACATGAGCAGGAACCAGGGGCTTTGAGAACAGCCTGGTCACATGCATGGGGTCCCTTTGTATGACACGTGCCACAGTGCAGTGGTGGCGATGTGGGGAGGTCACCTATCTCTCCCGAGCAGCCCCGGCCCTTTGGCTGGTGCTGGGGGGGGCTTGCACTCTTCCTGCCCGGCTGCTGTGTGCCCGATGGGTGTCACGGTGTGGAGGGGCATCAGCGATGGCCCGTGCCACTCGTGTGGCACATGGCAGTGTGAGCCTGGCGTGCCCTCCGCCACCGGGCTGTGGGGCACGGACCCCCTGGGCTGGGCAGCCCCCTCCCCACCCGCAGCTCCTCCCAGTCGGTGCCGGTGCCTCCGGCGGCTCCTCCCGTCCCGTCCCGCCGGGTGTGGCGGCTCGGGGCCGGTTCCGTCCCGGTCCCGGCGCCGATCCCTCCCCGTGGCCGGCAGAGGAGGCTGTTGCTCCGCCGGAGCCGATCGGGAGCGGACCGGGCTGTGCCGGGCTC